GAGGAGGGCCCCTGGTCTGAGCTTCCCTTCCGGACCCTCCCGGGACCCTCCTCCCCACAGCCTCCCCTCCTCACGCCCACCTGGCCGCTCTGGAAGTCATAGTCCAGCGAGTACTGCAGTCGTCCCAGCTCATGCTTCTCTGCCGCCGCCTGCTGCCCGGGCAAGGGTACTGCCGGCTCCAGCTCTTCCACTTCCGGCTGCACCTTGGGGAGCCCGGGGGGCAAAGGGGGGGGGTGTAAATTCTTCCCCTGAGTGTGTCATCCTCCAGGCCCAGAAACCTAGGGAGACTCATACATCTCTAGGTTATACCTGAGCCCTTGAGGGGCTAAGCAGAGTCAGTGTTCGATTAGTGATGTCTGTCACTGGGGAGGGAATGGCCATAGCAACACACGGTGCAGTGTTTTCTCGGTGTATGATTAGTGATGTCTGCTATGGTGGGGCCCGTGGTGAAATAGGCACCCATGGTAGCCTAGAAAAACTAGTGCACCCAGTTTTTTGCTCAGTGGATAGAGCGTCAGCCTGCGGACTGCAAGGTCCCAGGTTCGGTTCCGGTCAAGGGCATGTACCTTGGTTGCTGGCACCTCCCTGGTAAGGGGTGTGCAGGAGGCAGCTGATAGATGTTTCTCATTGATGTTTCTAACTCTCTATCCCTCTCTGTAAAAAAAAAAAAATCAATAAAAATATATTAAAAAACAAACAAGTGTAGCCCTATCCGGTGTGGCTCAGTGGATAGAGCATCGGCCTGCAGACTGAAGGGTCCCAGGTTCCATTCCAGCCAAGGGCACAGGCCTGGGTTGCAGGCAGGCACATCCCCAGTGGGGGTGGTGCAGGAAGCAGACAATCAACAATTCTCTCTCATCATGGATGTTTCCATCCCTCTCTCCTTCTCCCTTCCTCTCTGAAATCAATAAAGAAATATGTTTTTAAAAAAGAAGTTTAAGCTTAAAAAGTGTGGCTCTCAAAAGAAAGTTCAATCGTTGTACTGTTGATACTTGGCTCTGCTGACTAGTGAGTGTGCCGACCACTGGGCTAGACTGTCCTTCCCGCTGCGCTCAGTTAACTCTGTGGGTATCCAGGGTCTCCGCACAAAATTCACCTCCACTGGGAAGCCTTCAGGGACCTTGGAGGCTGCCAGCCCCCCTGGGCCAGGTGGCCCCCGTGCGGCACATACCACCTTGCATTGTGAGCCTGAGGGTGTCTGACCGCCCCGCCACCCTGAAAGGTTCTTGTGCCCAGTGAGCAGGTCCAGGCCACCTCCAGTCCCCCAGGGTCCGCTTTGGGGCTGGACTCACGCAGGAGATGGGCGAATAAGGTGGGCAGAGGAGGGAAGGGGCAGGGGGGCGGGGGGCGGGGGGCGGGGGCGGGGTGGGGGTCTGGGCCAGGCCACACCTTGTTTATGTAGCTCCGGCCCAGCTCCTTCACTTCCTGAAGGTGCACTTGGGCTTGCGCCTGGCTCTTCTTGCCCAGCCGCCTGCGGCAGCGCCTCCGGTACAGACAGAAGCAGCAGCTGAAGACCAGGAGGCCCGAGACCAGCACGCCTGTGGCCAGGGCCCAGGGCGGCACTGCGGAGGGCAGGACAAGGAGACATTGAGGCCCTGGGAGCCACGCCGGCGGTTCGGTAGGTGTGACCTCACCTGTAAAGCCACGTGACGCCCTAACCCAGCCTGACGCCGTCTGATTATTATTATTATTATTATTTTTTTTTTACTTATCCCTTCCACTCCCATTCTAATGTTTCTGCTCGATTGCTTTTTGGAAGCCTGAATCCCTCCCCGAGCCTGTTTCCCTATTTTTATTTTAGTTTTATTATTTTATTTTTTTTAAACATATATTTTATTGAATTTTTACAGAGAAGAAGGCAGAAACATCGATGAGAGAGAAAACATCGATCAGCTGCCTCCTGCACATCCCCCACTGGGGATGTGCCCGCAACCAATACATGCTCTTGATTGGAATCGAACAGGGGACCTTTCAGTCCACAGGCCTACGCTCTATCCACTGAGCCAAACCCGTTGGGGCTGCTTCACTATCTTTAAAAAGAAGGGACAGCGCAGCGGGTGTGGGTCAGTGGTAGAGCGCGAACACCTATGAACTAGGAGGTCACGGTTCAATCCCTGGTCAGGGTCATGCACCAGTGGTGGGCTGGATCCCCAGTAGGGGGCGTGCAAGAGGCAGCCCATCAATGATTCTCTCATCATAGGTGCTTCTATCTCTCTCTCCCTCTCCCTTTCTCTCTGAAATCAATAAAAAAAATATCTTTAAGAAAGAAAGAAAAAATAAAAGAAGGAACAGGTGGACCCTCTAATTCACCAATGCAAGAGCCTATTCCTTGGTCTGGTTTTCGTGGTGGGTTTTTTTGTTTTTTGTTTTTTTGTCTTTATTTATTTATTTATTTATTCATTCATTCATTCATTCATTTATTCATTGTAGCAAACGTGTTCTTTTTCCATTTCATTGAGATTCCAACCCAGGATTCCATTCGTTCATTCATTCATTCATTCATTGGTAGCAAACGTGTAAATCCTGGCCGGACTTTCCCTCCGCTCCAACCGGGGATCTGGCTCACCAGGGCCGTGGCTGATGCGACTTGAGTCGGGAGGCGTGTCTGACGCTGGAGGCCCCGGGGTTGGTGGCTCCGGAAACATGGCGGCGGGGTCCTACGGTCCTTTCTGCGGAGGCACCCAAGCACCCTAGCCTCCCACGCCCACCCGTGCAACCATTGAGTCCTCCGAACAACAGAGAACTACAACTCCCATCGGCACCCTGGGCGACTGGCCGCGCGGGAGTCGGCTGGCCGCCGCAAGGCATGTTGGGGGTTGTAGTTTCAGCCTCCCCAAGAAGGAGGGAGTGCTCTGGGGGTGCGTTCTAGGACTTAGTTCCATCCCCAAGGAGCGCCTCCACGGCCCCAGGTCCCCGCAGGAATCCCGCGGACTTGTCCCCTGTCTTTGCGCCTTTCCGGGACCTGAATCGGAAGTGGGCGAAGGCGAGCGTGGGAACCAGCGCGCCCAGTTGCCCAGAGCAACGCCTGGCTCCGCTTGGGGCCCCGGGGTGGGAGTTCACCCTGGTTGCCCCGGCAACGCCCTGTTGCCACGACAACGGGCGGGGCTCCACGTACTAAAGACAAGTCCCCGGGTGGGTATGGGATGCGGGGTGCCGCGCCCACCCTCCACACCCCCCCGGCTCAGTTCTCTGTTGGACTTGGGACCCCAGACCTGGGTCCCGGGACCAGCGAAGGTGGGAGGGACGGCCTGGCGGGCCGGTCCAGGCGCCCGCAGCTGGCCCCTCCTCCACATCTGGCCACGGAGGCGGAGACTCGGCCTCGCTTCCTCTCCCACTCATCCGGGGAGAATGGGGGTTCAGGGGGGCTGCCCTGCTGCCTCTGCCGGGCTCCCGCGCCCTCCTCGGCCCGCGCACCCCGCGCTCTGCCTTCACACCTGTCCTCGTGACCGGCGCAGCGTCCACCCTCCCTCCCTCTGGACTCCCGCCTCCCGTCCGTTCCCCCACGGGCCCCTCGCCGCTGCCCCCCCACCGTGTCTCCCCTGCCCCCCGCCGCCGCCGGGGTCCGGTCTCTGTCTCCCGGGGCCGCTCCTGCCCCCCTCCTTCCCTCGGGCTCTTTGTCCCTCACCTGTGTCCCCCTCCCGGCTCCAGCCCGCCCACGCCCTCTGTTGGTCCCTCTCGGGGTACCCCCCGTGTCCCCCATATCCTGCCCCTCTAGGGATGGGAATGAGGGTGCGGCTCAGGGAGGGGATCCCCCTTCTCCCCCCACCCCCCACCCGGCAGCTCCTTACCTGCTCCCCGCTGGACGGGACCCTCCCCGGAGACACCGGCGCCGGGCGGACTGACGCAGGCGGCGGCGCTGTCCGCGGTGCTGATAGCGGAGAGCGGTGGGCGGGGGCGCGGCGGGCGGGGCGGAGACACGTGTGTGCGCGTGTGTGTGTGTGTGTGTGTGTGTGTGTGTTTGCGCCAGCGCCTGCGTGCTCAGCCTGAGCAGGTGGAAAGCCCCCTCCCGCCCCTCGTCCCGCCCCGCAGCCAGGAGTCCCCCCCCAGCCATAGCCACCCTGGCCCCCACATGTTCTGCCTTCTAGCCCAGCCAGCTGGCGCCCAGCCGCCCCCCTCTCCCTAGCATTCAGATATCCAGACGCCAGACTCATTGTGGAAGTGTCCCCCAGGCGTCCTCCCCCTCCAGGTCCCCCTGCCTCCAGGCCCAGGACATAAGCCCCAGGCAACCCGTCCGTGTGGCCGTGGATGCGGGATTCGGCCTGCAGCCTTCCCCGCCATCCACAGCTGCTCTTTGTTCAGGTGCAGACCTGTGGTCCCTCTAGCCACCTCCCTAGGACTCACGCCGCAGAGCCTGAGAAAGCAGAACCCCACAACCCCGTCCCCAGATTATTTCCAGACCCAGAAACCCACTGGGGCCGGCATTTCTGCAGAGAAGAGTGATTTAATAAGTTATGGGGTGGAGGGGGTGGAAAGTATGTACAGGGCGTGGGTGCTGGGAAACCTGAGGTCTTTGGAGATTTGGTTTCTGGAGTAAACTGGAAGATCCTGCCTACCTTACCCCTTGGGTGGCCAGAATCCCGGACTCTTACCCTTCCTTCTTCCTTCCTTCTGTCCATTCATTCATCCATTCATCCTTCCATCCATCCATCTATCACCCATTCATCCTTTCTTCCATCCATCCATCCATCCATCCACCCATCCATCCATCCATCCATCCATCCACCCACCCATCCATCCATCCATCCACCCACCCATCCATCCATCCATCCATCCATCCACCCATCCATCCATCCATCCACCCATCCACCCTTCCTTCCACCTACTCTTCCATCCTTCTATCCATTCTTCCATCTTTCTTCCTTCCATCCATCTTTCCATCCTTCCTTCCTTTCCCAGAATCCAGCTTGTCTCTGGGAGACTCTGCAGCCCAAAGGGGCCCTGGCCCCCTCCTCCCACAGGGAACTAGGACATCCCAGCCCCCACCCCTCCCCTCCTTCATGGAACCCGGATCCTGGCTCCCCGGGACCTCTCTCCCCCAGGGCTGACAGCCACCCCACCCCCCCAGGGCCCAGGAGTCTGGGGCCCCAGCCCCTAGCTCTCCCAGGGGGTCCAGTCATCTGGGCTGAAGTCCGGATCCCGGGTGCGAGCCTGGCTGTGGGCTGGGGTCCCCGAGGCCCCGAAGCTGGGGTCTCAGCTTCCCCTACACGTCGAGGGCAGAATCGTTCTCGAAGAGCAGGTTCTCGTATATGGCGCTGTGCTTCTTGGCTGGGGGCCGGGCCGACTGCTGCAGAGACCGCAGGAGGCACTGGTGCAGGAAGACATACTGGGCCTGGGGAGGGCGGGGGGAAGGCATGGTGAGGGATGCCCCCCTGAGCGGTGGTGGCCTGCTGGACCCCGGATTCCACCTCCACCCGCCACCACACACACACGCACACGCACGCACACACACGCACGCACGCACGCACGCGCACTCACACACACACACACATACACACACACACACACACGCACACACACACACGCACGCACGCGCACTCACACACACACACACATACACACACACACGCACACACATGCACACGCGCGCGCACGTGCGCGCACACACACACACACACACGCACACACACACACCCCCCGCAGACCCGGTCACCTCGGTCTGCACCATCAGGGGCCGGCTCTCCCGCATCTTCTTCACGAAGCTGTAGGGCCCCACCAGGCCCTCGCACTCCAGCTGCCTCAGCAGGACGTCCAGGGCGATGAGGGTGCCCGTGCGGCCCACACCGGCGCTGGGCGGGGACAGGAGGGGTCAGGTCACGGGAGGGATTTTATTTCATTTTTTAATAAATATATTTTATTGATTCTCCACAGAGAGGAAGGAGAGGGACAGAGAGTTAGAAACATCGATGAGAGAGAAAAACACCGATCAGCTGCCTCCTGCACACCCATCACTGGGGATGTGCCCACAACCAAGGCACATGCCCTTGACGAGAATCGAACCCGGGACCCTTCAGTCCGAAGGCCGACGCTCTATCCACTGAGCCAAACCGGTTTCAGCAACAAAAACATATATATATTAAAAAAAATAAAAATAAAATAGAATATATTTTAAAAATAAATAAATAAAATTAAAATTTACACATAACATTCAGCCCTTTAAACGATGCAGCGACGTTGGCAATGCTGGGCGAGCATGACCTCTGGCCAGTTTCCCAAACACTCATCTCACTGCCGGCTCTGCTGGGCCTCCGGGCCCCCGGCAACCGCCTCGTGTTCCTGGGCCCGCCCTGGGCATTGCATGGAATCGGGGCCGCCCGCGGTGACCTGCCGCGTCTGGCTTCTCTCACTCGGCCTGCGCTGCTGAGGGCCGCCGGCATCTCCCCAGCCAGCGCTTCAAGCCTTTTTAGGGCTCTGGCTCAGCGCTGGAGGCAACGCTCCGAGCAGCGAGGCTCCACCCCTCGGCCTTGGGGGAAGGGGCTGCAGTCCGCGGAGGCGCCTCCAGAGGGCGCGCTGCAGGGACCAGGCAGGGGTGAGCGCACCATCTGGCAGGCAGACAGGTTAAGCGCACCAGGCAGGCCCTGCGCGGTGTGGCTCAGGGGATAGAGCGTCGGCCTGCAGACTGAAGGGTCCTGGGTTTGATTCCGGTCAATGGGCACATGCCCTGGGTTGCAGACTCGGTCTTCAGGAGGGGGGCGTGCAGGAGGCAGCTGATCAATGGTTCTCTCTCATCATTGATGCTTCTTTTTAAAAAATATATTTTATTGACTTTTTTACAGAGAGGAACGGAGAGCGATAGAGAGTTAGAAACATCGATCAGCTGCCTCTTGTACACCTCCCACTGGGGATGTGCCCGCAACCAAGGTACATGCCCTTGACCGGAACCGAACCTGGGACCTTTCAGTCCGCAGGCCGACGCTCCATCCATTGAGCCAAACCTGTTTCAGCATCATTGATGTTTTTATCACTCTCCCTTTCCTTCCTCTCTGAAATCAATTAAAAAAAAAAAAAAAGAAGAAGAAGAAGAAGAAGCCAAAGAACCCTGGCCAGTACACCAAAAGGTTGCAGGTTGCCGGTTCAATTCCCGGTCAGGGCACATGCCTGAGTTTCGGGCTCAGTCCTCAATGGGGGGTGTGCAGGAGGCAGGGAATGTCTCTCTTTCTCTCTCTCCCTCTTACTCTCCTTTCCTCTCTCTCTAAAAGGACAGCGAGCCCCAAGCAGAGGCTGGCTGTCACTCAGAAGCACCCCTTCCTCACCCTCCTCTGATTCGGTGAAATGTCACGTGTGGGGCTCCGGCCTAAACAGGAACTGGATGGAGGGCCGAGGCTGGGACAGCAGCCCAAGGAGGAGCTTCAAATCCTTCTCCAGGCCTTCGGTGGCTTCTCCTGCTCTCCACCGTCCTCCCTGCTCCTCCTCCTCCCTCAGGCCTTCTCCTCCTTTCCCTTCTTTTTTTTTTTTTAATATATTTTATTGATTTTTGTACAGAGAGGAAGGGAGAGACATAGAGAGTTAGAAACATCGATGAGAGAGAGTCATCGATCAGTTGCCTCTTGCACACCCCCTACCGGGGATGTGCCCGCAACCAAGGTACATGCCCTTGACCGGAATCGAACCCGGGTCCCTTCAGTCCCCAAGCCGACGCTCTATCCATTGAGCCAAACCGGTCCCGGCTCCTTCCCCTTCTCTTTTTCCTTTCCCACCTTCTCATCAGGACCCTGGTCCTCACGCTTCCTCACCTCTGTCTCCATCCCCTCCCCCCTCCTCTACCGGTTGCCTTGGCCCCAGGAGGCACCTCTCCCAAGGAATGCCCGCCCTTCCCGTGGGAGGGGACGTCGGGGTCAGGGCGCGGAGGCCAGGGACGGGGTGCGGCTGGTCCTCACCTGCAGTGCACGATGGGGGGGCCTCCCCCGGGGGTGTTGTCCAGCCACTGCCTGAGCACCTTCCAGAAGGCCAGCAAGGGGTCCGGGGAGTGGGGCACCCCGTGGTCCGGCCAGGCCATGTAGTGGAACTGTCGCACAGACAGGGTCTTCTTCTCCTGCGTCTAGACCAGGGCAGGTGGGGGAGGGAGAGCTCAGAACCCGGGAGGGGGCCTGGCCCTCAGGCTGGGATTGAGGTGGCGGGTGGGGGGACTCACGTGTCGCAGCTTCAGGTCTCGGATTGTCCAGTTCTCCATCACCTTCTCCCCCTCCAGGGTCACCTGCAGGTGCCCGTGGGTGCAGGGCTGGTCGTCCAGGGGCCAGTAATGCTCACACTTCACCTGGGGGAGGACTGCAGGGTCAGGGCATGGGGGGGGGGACGACCAGGGAACCTGCCCAGGCCCCTCCCCATGGCGGCTCTGTTCGCAGGTCCACCCTGGCCAGCAGGAGCCTGCCGGAAGCCAATTCCAGCAAGTCATCATTACAAGAGTTTCATCAAATGGTTGATGGAACTTGAGACTCAATAAGGGCTGAGCCACATATGTAATCACCTGTGGGAATGGTGAAAGGCACTTCCCCCAAACCTGAATAGGATGAGTGTTTGCCGCCAGACAGCTCACGGCTTCTCAATCTACATGTTATTGCCCCCTGTTGGCCAGACACCTGAACAGCTGTGGGCTAGTCCCCAACCTGACAATGCTTCTGTATGAAAACCAACCCTTTGAAGTGTATTACCTCCACTTACTGCCTTAGGACAAATTGTGCTACTAAAAAGCAAGGGTCCTGAGACAAGGAGCAGTCTTTAGCTCCTTTAGCTGAAGCTCCTCTGACCCCCAATGCCTTTCAAAACTATCTTTTGTCTTTGGACTCCTGCTTGAACTATGCACAGCCTTTCTGCAGATTGCTGAACCCCTTCTTAATGCAGGGACAAGCGCCCCGGCAGGAGCCACCGGTCCCAAGGTCATTGCGATCGGCCTCACCCCACAGGTGGACACGGGGATGGGCTGGGGGCGATGGGGGAGGTTGGGGTCCCACGGGAGGGAATCCTGGGGTGGAATCAGTGTTGGGGTGGAGGGGAGGGTTACGGATGGAGCTCGGGGGTCTGTCCCCGGGGGCCCCCGCCGGCGTCTGCTCACCCGGCCCAACTCCACGCAGTTGGTCAGCATGACCAGGGTGTGGCTCTGCTGCTCCCACACCAGGCGCCAGAAGTCGCCCACCGTCTGGGGCAGGGGGCCCTGGGTCGCAATGAACTCCCGGGAGCTCCAGAGACCCTGGGGGACACAGGCAGCGGTGACCCCTCCGGCCCAGAGCTTCGAGGCCCCTCGCACCCTCCCTGCTCCCAGCACGGAGGGACCTACGGGCATGAAGCTGGCGTTGATGTAGTCGGAGCCCGGGGCCCCGCCCAGGGTCCGCAGGGCCACGCGGGACCAGTCGTCTGGCGGCAGAGAGGGGGACAGGAGTCAGGCCGAGGGCGGACAGACAGACAGACAGACACACACACACCCAGGCTCCCAGGGGGCGGAGCCTCAGCTGAAGGACCGGCCGGGGGCGGAGCCCTCGTGTCCCAGGGGGTACGGCCCGGCCAGGGCCAGGGTGCTGGCCACGTCCTGCCTGGGACAAAGCCAGCAGCAGCTCAAGGCGCACAGGTGGCTCCGTGGTGGAGCGCTGACCTATGAACCTGGAGGCCCCGGTTCGATTGCACACGCCCAGGTGGCGGGCTCCGTCCCCAGGGCGGGGCGTGCAGGAGGCAGCCGACGCGTGATTCCCTCCCTCCCCGCCCTCCCGCTCGGACGTCAGCGAACACGTGTGAGACGCGGACTCACAGGGCAGCACGTTGCGGTAGCGGTTCTTGGCGCTGTTTTCCGGGGCCAGGGCCACCGTCTGGGACTGGCCGTGGCTCTCCAGGGCCAGGCGCTGGGGCGGGCAGAGGAGGGGCGCACGGTGAGGGCCCCTCCGGCTTCCCCGAAGGACACCCCCAGGCGCCCCTGCCCCCCCCACCCCGCGTACGCCTGGTGCCCTGGAGGCCTGTGGCCCCAGGAATGGAACGGGTGTGCACGGGGGGCGAGGCGGGAGCCGCCCAGAGAGGGGGTGTCAGGGAACCCAACGTGTGTCTCTAGGGCGCCTGACACGGCCCCCCCACAGACCCACTGCCCCGCCCCCACCCCCCTGCTGCTCCCCTGCCCCACCCCACTTCCCTGCCTCACCCCACCCCCCTGCCCAACTCCTACCCACCCCCCTGCTGCCCCCTGCCCCACCCCACCCCCCTGCTCCCCCCTGCCCCGCCCCCACCCCCTGCTGCCCCCTGCCTCACCCCACCCCCCTGCCCAACTCCTACCCACCCACCTGCTGCTCCTCTCCCCACCCCACCCACCTGCTGCTCCCCTGACCACCCTCACCCCCACCCACCTGCTGCTCCCCTGCCTCACCCCCACCCCCCTGCCTCACCCCCACCCCCCTGCCCACCCCCCACCCTACCCCCTGCTGCTCCCCTGCCCCCCACCCCCCTGCTGCTCCCCTCCACCCCCCTGCTGCTCCCCTGCCCCCCCACCCCCCTGCTGCCCCCTGCCCCACCCCCACCCCCCTGCTGCTCCCCACCCCCCTGCCCAACTCCTACCCACCCACCTGCTGCTCCTCTCCCCACCCCACCCACTTGCTGCTCCCCTGCCCCACCCCACCCCCCTGCTGCCCCCTTGCCCCATCCCCCACCCCCCTGCTGCCCCCTTGCCCCATCCCCCACCCCCCTGCTGCCCCCTTGCCCCATCCCCCACCCCTCTGCTGCCCCCCTGCCCAAGGGCCGAGGGTGTCTGTGCAAGTGGGCAGGCTCTTGGTGCTGATTTTGTTCAATCCCATGGCAGGGGGGTCCGCATGGGCCTGTGGGCCAGCTGAGGCCCTGTCCTCCCCACCCTGCTGCTCCCCTGCCTCACCCCACCCCCCTGCCCAACTCCTACCCACCCACCTGCTGCCCCTCTCCCCACCCCACCCACCTGCTGCCCCCCTGACCACCCTCACCCCCCTGCCTCACCCCAACCCCCCTGCCCACCCCGCACCCTACCCCCTGCTGCTCCCCTGCCCACCCCGCCCACCTGGTACTCCTCAGCAAAGCCGCAGTTGCTGTCCTTCTCGTTTCTGCGGACGTGGTCAGCGAAGTCGGCCGCAGGGATGTCCCTTCGGAAGCTGGGGCGGGAGGGATGTAGACAGGTTTTAGCGCCTTAGCCCGCGCCGTGGGGCTGGAGGACAGCGCTGTCACTGCTGTCCACGCCCCCGGAGCAGACGCAGCTCATAACCGGAAGCCTGGGGCCCCTGACACCTCCCCACACACAGGCCCACACACAGGCCCACACCCTCCGCCCGGCCTCGGCGACCACCCATCTACTCTCTGCCTCTGTGGTTCGCTTTCTTTTTCCCATTTTTTAAAAATATATTTTATTGATTTTGTACAGAGAGGAAGGGAGAGAGATAGAGAGCTAGAAACATCGATGAGAGAGAGTCATCGATCAGCCGCCTCTTGCACACCCCCCACCGGGGATGTGCCGGCAACCAAGGTACATGCCCTCGACCGGAATCGAACCCGGGACCTTTCAGTTCCCAAGCCGACGCTCTATCCACTGAGCCAAACCAGTCTCGGCTCCCATTTTTAAAATAAATTTTTATTGTTCATATTATTACAAATGTTCCTTCCCCCCCCCTCCCCCACCATTGCTCTCCTCCACCAGGTTCCCACCCCACCCTCTGCCCTTTCCCCTCTCCCCATTGTCCTCATCCATAGGTGCACAGTTTATGTTCAGTCTCTTCCCACATCCCCCACTCCCTTTCCCCCCTGAGAATTGTCAGTTCATTCCCCTTCCATACCTCTGATTCTATTTTATTCACCAGTTAATATTGTTCATCAGGTTTTTTAATTCCCCTGGCTTTTAGATTCACTTGTTGATAGTTACGTATTTGTTGTTCATAATTTTTATCTTTATTTACTTTCTCTTCCAAAAGAACGCCCTTCAGCAATTCATATAATTCTGGTTTGGTGGTGATGAACTCCTTTAGCTTTTTTTTTTTTATTAGTGAAGCTCTTTATCTGACCTTCGATTCTGAGTGATAGCTTTGATGGGTAGATAATTTTTGGCTGTAGGTTCTTGCTGTTCATCACCTTGAATATTTCTTGCCATTTCCGTCTGGCCTGCATGGTTTCTGTTGAGAAATCAGCTGACAATCGTATGGGTGCTCCTTTATAGGTAACTACCTTCTTTGCTCTTGCTGCTTTTAATATTCTCTCTGTGTCTTTTGCTCTTGGAATTTTAATTATGATTTGTCTTGGTGTGGTCCTCTTTGGATTCCTTTTGTTTGGAGTTCTGTGCGCTTCCTGGACTTGTAAGTCTAATTCTTTCACCAGGTGGGGGAAATTTTCTGTCACTATTTCTTTCAGTATGTTTTTGATATCTTGCTCTCTCTCATCTTCTGGGACCCCCATAAGTCTGATGTTGGTTCGCTTGAAGTTGTCCCAGAGGTTTCTTACATTATCTTCAACTTTCTGGATTCTCTTGCCTTCTAGCTTCTGTGGAGGAGTGTCTTATGGCTCTTTATGTTCCAAATCTTTGACTTGATTCTTGCGATCTTCCATTCTGTTTTTAGGACTCTGTATAATATTTTTTATTTCAGACAATGTATTCTTTATTTCTTGTTGATCCCTTATCATTTCTTGTTGATTCCTTATTAATTCTAGTTGATCTCTTTTCATATCCTCATAGGTCTTATCGATCTTTTCTAGGAAATTCTTGAAAAACCTTATAAGCGTAGATTTGAACTCTATATCCAGTCGCTTTTTGTCCTCCATTTCTTTCGTTTGTGATCTATTTCGTTGTCACATTTCGCAGCTACAGATGGGGCGGGGTTTCAGGGTGGAGCCTGCAGCCTTGGCTTCCATCAACCCCACCCTATGCAGCTCCTGGGTCTCAGGGTCCTTCAGTACTCCTTGCAAGCGCCTCTGAGAGAAAGGTGCCCTCGATTTTCACCTGCTGCCAAACAGTCTAGGCTCTCCCCCAATGAGCCCGGTATTGGGGTTCAATTCAGTTGGAAGTGGATTGTGGGATAAAGTAATGATAATTAATAATGTGGTTTTTATTCCTCAGTTCCACTCCTGGAGAGAGAATGGAAAGCAGTGCCTCGGAAAGATACCTGAGCCCTGATGGGTGTGGCTCAGTGGATAGAGCGTCAGCCTGAGGACTGAAGGGTCCCGGGTTAGATTCTGGTCGGGGGCGTGTACCTTGGTTGCAGGCACATCCCCAGTGGGGGCTGTGCAGGAGGCAGCTGATCGATATTTCTCTCCCATCAACGGGGGGAGGGGGTCTCTGGTCCTGCCCTCTGACCCATGCAGTGCCCAGCGAACACCCCTCGATTTGGCCTGACAGTGATCCTTTCGGATGCTCCCCCAACCACTGGCTCACCTGAGTGCTGGCTCCTTCAGGCTCTTCTTATACCTGGGAGAGGGCGTGGGAGGAAAGGCCCAGGCGGTGAGGGTGGGACCAGCTGTCCTGTTCCCGCCCTGGGTCCCAACTCAGGGCGCTGGTCAGCCCTGGGCACAGTCTCACCTCCCCCGCCCCCCTCCAGGTGCTGGTCAGCCCTGGGCAGTCTCACCTCCCGGCCCCCCTCCGGGCGCTGGTCAGCCCTGGGCACAGTCTCACCTCCCGGCCCCCCTCCGGGCGCTGGTCAGCCCTGGGCACAGTCTCACCTCCTCAGGAAGAAGACCAGCAGGCCCACCAGGGTGAGGAACAGGAGGACCCCGACAATGGCTCCGGCGATGACCCCTGGGGGAGGAGGCACGGGAGCCGTTATTGATTTTATTGATTTTTTACAGAGAGGAAGGGAGAGGGATAGAGAGTTAGAAACATCAATGAGAGAGAGACATTGATCAGTTGCCTCCTGCACACCCCCCAGTGGGGATGTGCCTGCCACCAAGGTACATGCCCTTAACCGGAATCGAACCCGGGACCCTTCAGTCCTCATGCCGACGCTCTCTCAACTGAGCCAAACCCGTTTCAGCCCATTTTTATTTTTAAACTAGAGGCCTGTTGCATGAAGTTTCTTGCAATAGCCGTTCCTTCCCCTCGCTGCCAGCACCAGCTTTCCCCCCACACCCGGGACCCGGGACCCGGGACCCGGGACCCGGGACCCGGGCCTCAGGCCGCAGCAGAGCCAGCCTGCAGCCTTCATGCTTGGCTGTGGCTGTGGGAGGAGCCTTCAGTCTTCCCTCCTTGTCTGCATATGCAAAGTAACTGCCACCTTTGTCAGGTTAATTTGCATACTTGCTCCTGATTGGCTGGTGGGCGTGGCGGAGGCACGGTCAACTTACATGTTTGTCTATTATTAGGTAAGATATGTTTTTATTGATTTCAGAGAAGAAGGGAGAGGGAGACAGAGAGAGAAACATCCATGATGAGAGAGAATCATGGACTGACTGCCTCCTGTATGCTCCCTACTGGGGATCCAGCCCACATCCCAGGCATGTGCCCTTGGCTGGAATTGAACCTGGGACCCGTCAGTCTGCAGGCTGACACTCCATCCATTCAGCCGAACCAGCGAGGGTTCACTGTACACTTTAAATGGGTGAGTTGTGCCCTAGTCCCGTCCGTAGTCAGCAAACTGTGGCTCATGAGCCACATGCAACTCTTTGGCCCCTTGAGTGTGGCTCTTCCACAAAATACCACAGACTGGGCGAGTCTGTTTTGAAGAAGTGGCGTTAGAATAAGTTTAGGTAAAAAAAATTTGGCTCCCAAATGAAATTTCAATCGTCGAACTGTTGATATTTGGCTCTGTTGACTAATGAGTTTGCCGACCACTGCCCTAGCTGGTTTGGCTCATTGGATAGAGGGTCCGCCTTTGGACTGAAGGGTCCCAAGTTCGATTCCAGTTGAGGGCTCATGCCTGGGTTACAGGCTCGGTCCCCAGTGGGGGTGGTGTGTGGGTTTCGGCTGATCGGTGATTCTCTCTCTCAGGGCATTGATGTTTCTCTCTCCCTCTCCCTTCCTCTCTGAAATCAATAAAAAATGTATTATAAAGAATTAAATACATAAATAAATGGGTGAGCTCTGTTATGTGACTTACATCTCAATAGAACTGTTTTATTTTTTTTTTATTTTTTAAGAATATATATTTTATTGATTTTTTACAGAGAGGAGGAGCGAGGGATAGAGAGCCAGAAACGTCGATGAGGGAGAAACACCGACCAGCTGCCTCTTGCACACACCCTACTGGGAATGTGCCTGCAACCAAGGTACATGCCCTTGACTGGACTCGAACCTGGGACCTTTCAGTCCACAGGCCGACGCTCTACCACTGAGCCAAACCAGCTTCGGCTCAATAGAACTGTTTTAAAGACAGCAGAAAACAAAGCAAAATGAGCAAATGAGAAGGATCCTTGGGGTAGGTAAGACCCCCGGCGTTTACCCAGGGCCCGGGGGGTCTGGAGAGACTGCCCGCCCCCCGGCTGCGCTCACCTGCACTCTCCGTGTGGCAGGTCATCGAGGCCGCTGGGGCCCGCAGCCCGTCCCAGACGGTCCGGACGGTGGCCTCATAGGACTGAGCCGGCTGCAGGTCGGACACTCGCACGTCCTTCCCGCAGGAGGCTCTGTCCTGGGGGCTCCGCTGCCCGCCCACCTGCAGCTCGAAGGCCTGGTAGCCGCCCGGGGGGCAGGTCCAGGTCAGGACGAGCCCGTAGCCACCAGAGGTGCTGGTGCAGGAGGTGATGGTGACCGGGTCCGGGGCTGGGAGGAGGGGACAAGTGGAGCCGGTAGGTGCCAGCCAGGGTGGTGCTCCATCCCTCCAGGCGTCACCATGGCAGCGACCATGAGCCCAGCCTTCCCTTCCCCAAACCAAAATACTTCTTCATCCCTGGCTTTCTAAATTCCCAAATGGACACACGACCGGTCCCCACAAACTACAACTCCCATGAGCCTTTGGACTCTCTGGATCACTGCACCTTATACAGTCAGGGCCCCATGGCCTGCTGGGATTTGTAGTCCACTAACTTCGTAGACCCACAAGTTCCTCTTGGCCCCCCCAAAACCCCAAACAGGTAAAAGGGGGCCCATCTCACCTGTGGATGCTCGGAGGCTCTGTGTGGAACCGGCTACACCACTCTTCTCCGCCCACACGCTGAAGTTGTATGGAGTCCCGGGTTCCAGGGCCTCCACCACATACCAAGTCTCACTGGTGTTGGCTATCTCGTCGACCTTGTGTCCTTGGGGGTCTGTCTCCTTCTGGGGATCTACTCCCCTGGCCCACCGGACCCAGTACATGTAGAACTGAGCGCGGGGGTCTGCAGGGGCCTCCCACTGCAGGGCGATGGAGTTGTTGGTCTGAGTTTTCTTCTGCAGAGCTGTGACCTCATTGGGAGCTGGGAATGGAGACAGACAACTCCATGGGCAGAACCCCAAGGCCCCTCACACCACCCTTCCCTGCAGAGCTGAGGTGGCCCAGCCATCGGATTGGCCTACTTCCCAGGGAGGGTGAACTACAGAAGAGAGGTGGGGATCATGCCAGGGTTCTTGTTCCAGCCTCTAGAAGGGATCAGCAATCTGGAGAAAGGCTGTGCATAGATCAAGCAGGAGTCCAAAGACCAAAGATAATTTTGAAAGGCATTGAGGGTCAGAGGAGCTTCAGCTAAAGGAGCTAAAGACTGCTCCTTGTCTCAGGACCCTTGCTTTTTAGTAGCACAATTTGTCCTAAGGCAGTAAGTGGAGGTAATACACTTCAAAGGGTTGGTTTTCATACAGAAGCATTGTCAGACTGGGGAATAGCCCACAGCTGTTCAGGTGTTTGGCCAACAGGAGGCAATAACATGTAGACTGAGAAGCCCTGAGCTGTCTGGCAGCAAACACTCGTCCTATTCAGGTTTGGGGGAAGTGCCTTTCAGCCATTCCCACAGGAGATTACATATGTGGCTCAGCCCTTGTGGAGTCTCAAGTTCCATCAACCTTTTGGGGAAACTCATGCAATGATGACATGCTGGAACTGGCTTCCGGCAGGACCACCCTTCCAGACACAACACGTTTCTAGACGTTTCTGTGGACTTCAGTCTTCTTAGCCCAAACGGCCAAAGTCGGAAGAGTTCAGGTCCCGTGCATCAGCAGTGCACCTGGTCCCTGGGGCAATTCTGCTTCCTCTCACACTGGGGACCCACACCTGCAGGCTGTTGGATCCGCCATTTCACCAGGACAAGCTGTGGGCGACTGTCTAGCTCAGCGGTTCTCAACCTGTGGGTCTCGACCCCTTTGGGGGTCGAACGATCCTTTCACAGGGGTCCCCTAAGACATCCTGAATATCATGCCCTAACCCGTTTGGCTCAGTGGATAGAGCGTCAGCTTGCAGACTGGAAGGTCCCAGGTTTGATTCCGGTCGGGGGGCATGTGCCTTGGTTGCAAGCACATCCCCAGTGGGAGGTGTGCAAGAGGCAGCTGATGGATGTTTCTCTCTCATCGATGTTTCTAACTCTCTATCCCTCTCCCTTCCTCTTGGTAAAAAAATCAATAAAATATCGTCTCCCAAGAACCTTGAAACACGCCCCCATCATGCTTCCCCCTCCCCCCAGTCCCAGAAGTGCTGGGCCCAGACCTGGACGGGGTCTCACCTGTGGCCCCCATGAGGGTCTTATTGCCGCTGTTGAGCCCATTCCTCCGGGCCCACACGGCGAAGGTGTACAGGCTCCCAGCTTCCATTGCACCCACGGTGATCCCGGTATCCGGGGTGCTCTGGAGCCCAGCGGCAGCCCCGCCCTCCAGGGCCCAGGAGACCCAGTAGGTGTAGGGAGGGTGCTCTGGGCCCTGGGGAGCCGTCCAGCTCAGGCTGACGGAGCTGGTGGTCTGGTCCCCGATCCTGAGGCCTGTCACTGCGCTGGGGACTGGCAGGAGGAACAGAGAGAGGGTCAGGTCTGCCCGCCCCTCGTCCCCTCAGCACAGTCATGTCCCTGCTCCCTGCGCAGCCAGAGTGTTTGGACACATTTCCCAGCCCTGGCCGGGTGGCTCGGTGGGTAGAGCGTTGGTCATTCCACTATGCCAAGGCTGGGGTCCGATCCCCGGTCAGGGCACGTACAAAAATCAACCAATGGCTGCGTCCAGGGAAACCACAAACCAGTATTTCTCTCTTTTTCTCTCACCGTGCCCCCCCCCCCCACACCCACACCTCCCTTCTCTCTCTAAAATCAAGAGATAGCCCAGCCAGTCTGGCTCCGTGGTTGAGCATCCATATATGAACCAGGAGGTCCCAGTTCGATTCCCAGCCAGGGCACATGCCCGGGTGTCAGGCTTCTGATCCCTGGTGTGGGGCCTGCAGGAGGCAGCCGATCCATGATTCTCTTTCATCATTGATGTTTCTCTCTCTCCCTCTCTCTCTTTCTCTCTCACCCTTCCACTCTGAGATTCATAAAAATATATTCAAAAACAAACCAGCCGAAACGGGTTTGGCTCAGTGGATAGAGCGTTGGGGTCCTGGGTTCAATTCCAATCAGAGGCATGTGCCTTGGTTTCGGGCACATCCCCAGTGGGGGGTGCGCAGGAGGCAGCTGATGGCTGTTTCTCTCTCATTGAATTTTCTAGCTCTCTATCCCTCTCCCTTCCTCTCTGAAAAAAAACAAAAAAAAAAACACACAAAAAAACAATAAAATATACATAAGACTTTCTGCATATAAAATATTTACCCTTTGATACAGTTCCTCATGTTGTGGTGAACCCAACCATAAAATTATTTCCATGTTGAAACACACCCCCATCACGACTCCTTCTCCCCACCAGTCCCCGGAGTGCTGGGCCCAGACCTGGACGGGGTCTCACCTGTGGCCCCCGTGAGGGTCTTATTGCCGCTGTTGAGCCCGTTCCTCTGGGCCCACACAGCGAAGGTGTACAGGCTCCCAGCTTCCATTGCGCCCACGGTGATCCCGGTATCTGGGGTGCTCTGGAGCCCAGCGGCAGCCCCGCCCTCCAGGGCCCAGGAGACCCAGTAGGTGTAGGGAGGGTGCTCTGGGCCCTGGGGAGCCATCCAGCTCAGGCTGATGGAGCTGGTGGTCTGGTCCCCGATCCTGAGACCTGTCACTGCGCTGGGGACTGGCAGGAGGAACAGAGAGAGGGTCAGGTCTGCCCGCCCCTCGTCCCCTCAGCACAGTCATGTCCCTGCTCCCTGCGCAGCCAGAGTGTTCGGACACATTTCCCAGCCCTGGCCGGGTGGCTCGGTGGGTAGAGCGCCAGTCGACCCACTATGCCAAGGCTGGGGTCCGATCCCCGGTCAGGGCACGTACAAGGATCAACCAGTGACTGCATCCAGGGAAACTACAAATCAGTATGTCTCTCCCTCTCTCTCACCACCACCCCTCCACCTTCCTTCTCTCTCTAAAATCAAGAAATAGCCCAGCCAGCCTGGCTCCGTGGTTGAGCGTCTATGTATGAACCAGGAGGTCCCATTTGGATTCCCAGCCAGGGACATGCCCGGGTGTCAGGCTTAATCCCCAATGGGGGGCCTGCAGGAGGCAGCCGATCCATGATTCTCTCTCATCATTGATGTTTCTCTCTTCCTCTCTCTCTCTCTCTCTCTCTCTCTCTCTCTCTCTCTCTCTCTTTCTCCCCCCCCCCTTTCCCTTCCACTCTGAGATCAATAAAAATATATTAAAAAAAAAAACAGTCGAAACCGGTTTGGCTCAGTGGATAGAGCATCGGCCTGCGGACTGGTTCGAATCCGGTCAAGGGCATGTACCTTGGTTGTGGGCCCATCCCCAGCGAGGGGGGGTGGGGGGGGTGCAGGAAGCAGCTGATCGATGTTTCTTTCTCATCGATATTTATAATTCTATCCCTCACTCTTCCTCTCTGTAAAAAATCAATTAAAAACAAACAAACAAGACAATGACGGCAAAACAAATGCCCCCCACCCCCACCCCCACCCCCACCCCCGTCACCTGTGGCCGCGCTGAGATGGGTCCGGGAGCTGCTGACATTGCTGTTCTCCACCCACACGGCGAGCTCGTAAACGGACCCGGGTTCCAGTCCGTCCACCGTGACACTGGTGTCTGCTGTGCTCCGGGTCCCACCCGTCCACTCCACCCAGTAGGTGTAGCTCCGGTTGGGGCCGAGGGGCGGCTCCCAGCGCAGGCTGATGGAGCTGTTGGTCGGATTCTCCACGGTCAGGTTCTGGACGGGGTTGGGGGCTGAGGAGGGGACAGCAGGGGGGTCAGCTGTGGGCTCTGGGACCCCCAGGAGCAGGCCTTCCTTCCCCGCTGGGCCCAGGAAGCCTGGGGCGGGGGCTAGACCCTCACGTCCATCTAGCAGCCATGCCCGGCCAGTGTGGCTCAGTGGTTGTACAGCCACCTAGGAACCAGGAGGTCTAAGCAGAGCCCCCTCCCACCCCGTCCCCCACCAGAATGGTGACCTAGAAAGCTCCCAGCCCTGACTCCGGGGGGGAGGACAGGGGGGAGAGGGGGGAGCCCGCCATGGGACGGGGTGCGGCACCTGTGGAGGCCTCCTGGGTCCGCTCGGCGCTGGGCACTCCGTGCCTCTCCGCCCACACGGAGAACCGGTACGAGGACGCGGGTTTGAGTCCCTGCACCGTGTGCGTGACGTCTGTCGTGTTCTGGGTCTCGGTCTCATCCTCGTCATTGTCCCCCGTCCACCGGACCCAGTAGGTGTAGCCCTGAGTGTCCGGGGCCTCCCAGCGCAGGCTGATGGAGCTGTTGGTCGGATTCTCCACGGTCAGGTTCTGGACGGGGTTGGGGGCTGAGGAGGGGACAGGAGGGGGGTCAGCTGTGGGCTCTGGAGGCCCTCCTTCCTTCCCCGCTGGGCCCAGGAAGCCTGGGGCGGGGGCTCGACCCTCACATCCAACTGGCAGCCGTGCCAGGCCAGTGTGGCTCAGTGGTTGAGCGGTGACCGATGAGCCAGGAGGACACGGTTCAGTTCCCGGTCAGGGCACAGGCCGGGGTTGTGGGCTCGAACCCCAGTGGGGGGCGTGCAGGAGGCAGCCGATCCATGATTCTCTCTCATCACTGATGTTTCTCTCTCTTCCTCTCTCTTCCCCTCCGAGATCAATAAAAATATATATTTTTTAAAAAGAAAATGAAAACAAAAAAACGAAACACACCAGGATAATGAGGACAAAACAAATGCCCCCCACCCCCACCCCCACCCCCGTCACCTGTGGCCACGCTGAGATTGGTCTGGGAGCTGCTGACATTGCTGTTCTCCACCCACACGGCGAGCTCGTAGGCGGACCCGGGTTCCAGTCCGTCCACCGTGACACTGGTGTCTGCTGTGCTCCGGTTCCCAGAGTCACCGCCGTCCCCCGTCCACGCCACCCAGTAGGTGTAGCTCCGGTTGGGGCCGAGGGGCGGCTCCCAGCGCAGGCTGATGGAGCTGTTAGTCGGATTCTCCACAGTCAGGTTCTGGACGGGGTTGGGGGCTGAGGAGGGGACAGCAGGGGGGTCAGCTGTGGGCTCTGGGCCCCCCGTGAGCAGGCCTTCCTTCCCGCTGGGCCCAGGAAGCCTGGGGCGGGGGCTAGACCCTCACGTCCATCTAGCAGCCATGCCCGGCCAGTGTGGCTCAGTGGTTGTACAGCCACCTAGGAACCAGGAGGTCTAAGCAGAGCCCCCTCCCACCCCGTCCCCCACCAGCATGGTGGCCTAGAAAGCTCCCAGCCCTGACTCCGGGGGGGAGGACAGGGGGTGTGAGGGGGGAGCCCGCCATGGGACGGGGTGCGGCACCTGTGGAGGCCTCCTGGGTCTGCTCAGCGCTGGACACTCCGTGCCTCTCCGCCCACACGGAGAACCGGTACGAGGACGCGGGTTCGAGTCCCTGCGCCGTGTGCGTGACGTCTGTCGTGTTCTGGGTCCCGTTCTCGCCATCGTCCCCCGTCCACCGGACCCAGTAGGTGTAGCCCTGAGTGTCCGGGGCCTCCCAGCGCAGGGTGATGGAGCTGTTGGTCGGATTCTCCACGGTCAGGTTCTGGACGGGGTTGGGGGCTGAGGAGGGGACAGCAGGGGGGTCAGCTGTGGGCTCTGGAGGCCCTCCTTCCTTCCCCGCTGGGCCCAGGAAGCCTGGGGCGGGGGCTCGACCCTCACATCCAAAATGGCAGCCGTGCCCGGCCAGAGTGGCTCAGTGGTTGAGCGGTGACCGATGAAGCAGGAGGTCACGGTTTGATTCCCGGTCAGGGCACAGGCCGGGGTTGTGGGCTGGATTCCCCAGTGGGGGGCGTGCAGGAGGCAGCCGATCCATGATTCTCTCTCATCACTGATGTTTCTCTCTCTCTCCCCCTTTCCCTTCCTCTGTAAAACAAGAAGAACATATTGTAAAGAATAAAAAGAAACATCCTGGGGTGAGGGTAAGTGAGGATAAGCAAACCAAGGATGCCAAGCCGGGCTGGCTCAGTGGCCATCGGCCTGAAGGGTCCCGGGTTCGATTCTGGCCAAGGGCACAGGCCCGGGCTGCAGGCTCCATCCCCCGTGTGGGGCGAGCAGGAGGCAGCAGATCCATGATTCTTTCTCATCGTTGATGTTTCTCTCCCTCTCCCTTCCTCTCTGACATCCATAAAGAAATATATTTTTTAAAAATAACAATATAAATCCATGGAAAAATATCCTGGGGGGAGGATTTAATCATAAATAAATTTTTAAAAATCTTTTCTTTTTAGCCAAAACCAGTGTGGCTCAGTGGATAGAGCGTCGGTCTGCAGACTGAAAGGTCCCGGGTTCGATTCCGGTCAGGGGCATGTATCTTGGTTTCCAGCACATCCCCAGCAGGGGGTGTGCAGGAGGCATCTGGTCGATGTTTCTCTCATCAATGTTTCTAACTCTCTATCCCTCTCCCTTCTTCTCTGCAAAAAATCAATAAAATATATTAAAAAAAAACAAAACACAACCCCTTTTTAAAAAATATATATCTTATTTATTTTTTACAGAAAGGGGGAGGGAAAGAGAGTTAGAAACATGAATGAGAGAGAAACATCGATCAGTTGCCTCCTGCACACCCCCTGCTGGGGATGTGCCCGCAACCAAGGCACATGCCCTTGACCGGAATCGAACCTGGGACCCTTCAGTCCGCAGGCCGACTCTCTAACCACTGAGCCACACTGGTTAGGGTTTAAAAAAAAAAGTTTTATTAAACACACACACACACACACACACAAACACACACCAACAACCAACACAACAGATGAAGCGGGGGCTGCTCTCACCTGTGCTGGCATTGAGGGTCTCCTCGCTGCTGCCGGCTCCACCTGCCTCCACCCACACGGAAAACACATAGCGGGACGCGGGTTCGAGTCCCTCTGCTGAGTACGTGACGTCTGTCGTGTTCCCGGTCTTGTTCTCGGCTTTCTCTCCGGCCCACCGGATGTGGTAGGTGAGGTTCTCCGGGCTCGGGTCCGGGGGCTCCCAGCGCAGAGTGATGGAGCTGTTGGTCTGATTCACCACGGCCAGGTTCCTCACGGGGTCTGGTGCTGGGAACAGGAGGCCAGGCTGGGTCCCTAACCCCCTCCGGGGCCAGCGAGACCCTCCCTCCGGCGCCTGCCAGGGATCCCTCCCCCTCCATGGAGACCCCCCTCCCTCCCGCAGACTCCCGCAGGAGACTGGAGGTGCTACCTGGCTGGGTGGGAGGTGGACTGGAGGTGCTACCTGGCTGGGTGGGAGGTGGACTGGAGGTGCTACCTGGCTGGGTGGGCGGTGGACTGGAGGTGCTACCTGGCTGGGTGGGAGGTGGACTGGAGGTGCTACCTGGCGGGGTGGGAGGTGGACTGGAGGTGCCGCCTGGCTGGGTGGGAGGTGGACTGGAGGTGCCACCTGGCTGGGTGGGAGGTGGACTGGAGGTGCCACCTGGCTGGGTGGGAGGTGGACTGGAGGTGCCATCTGGCTGGGTGGGCGGTGGACTCGCCAAGGATCCCTCACCCGCTGTCCGGGCTCCGGTCCAGACGCACAGGCCCTGGGGGACGGGGGAGAGGGGCGGGGGGCAGAGTCAGAGCCCCCCCCCCTCCAGGCCCGGGTGAGACTGGGGGCTCCCGGCCCAGTCCCCACAGAGGTACAGCCAGGGGGGACATAGGGAGCAAGGGCCACCTCCCCCAGGCCCCACCCGGACAAAGGTCACCCCAAGGCCAGCTGCCTCTGCGGGGTGTGGGGAGGGCGGGGCGGGGCGCAGGGACGGAGCTGGCTGGACACCTGCCCTCCGCCCGCTGGGAGAAGGCCAGGCCAGCGATAAGGCGATGGTTTCACTTCCCCAAAAGCAAGGCCGACCAGAAGCAGAAAAGCAAGCAACTATCACTGCTAATAATAATAATAATAATAATGAAATAATAATAATGAAAAGCAAAGAATAAAAGTCACCAACAAACTGGGAATTGGGGAGAGACAGGCCGGGGACCAGAGGCCAGACACCTGGTCTGATGGTGTCTGAGGCTGGGGGCCTGGGTCTGAGGGAGGAGGGCTGGGGGCCTGGGCTCCTGGGGCTGAGGGAGGAGGCTGGGGGCCTGGGCTCCCGGGTCTGAGGGAGGAGGGCTGGGGCCTGGGCTCCTGGGTCTGAGGGAGGAGGGCTGGGGGCCTGGGCTCCTGGGTCTGAGGGAGGAGGCTGGGGGCCTGGGCTACTGGGTCTGAGGGAGGAGGGGCTGGGGGCCTGGGCTCCTGGGTCTGAGGGAGGAGGCTGGGGGCCTGGGCTCCTGGGTCTGAGGGAGGAGGGCTGGGGGCCGGGAATGCAGGGCCTTTTAACCAGAATTCACTCTCACCCGGGACAGGACACACCTGAGTCGCAGGTGTGAGACTCCCCAACAATCCCGGAACCTGGACACCTGCTTTCTCCCCGGGGAACCCTCCCCCTTTTCCTCAGGACCCGGTTCAGGGGCCCCAGTCCCCACCCTCAGACCCGCCCTGGACCCCCCCCCCTCCCGGGCCCCACTCACCAGCAGCACCAGGCGCCCCCAGGCCCCGCGGCCCCCCCAAGCCCCGGCCATGCCCGCGGGGACGCTGCGCGCTCGGCCGGTGACCAGTGCGGCCGGTGCACCTGCGGGGCCGGACAGCGGGCATTCCCCTCCCGCCCGCCCGGCGGCCACAGGTCCGGGGCGGGAGGAGGAGGAAGTGGAGGCCCGGCGCCCGCCCCGCCCGCCCCGCCCGCCCTGCCGCCCGGGGTTCGGCCTCTGGACCCTCCTTTGCCCAGAGAAGCGGCGGGCGGGCGGGGGCGCGGGATAGGGGCCCCGGGCTGTGCATTGGGGTGCGGGCGCCCCGTCTCTGCACCTGCGGGTCCGGGCGTCCGGCAGGTCCTTCCAGCACCGGCTGCCCCGCCGCGGGCCCCGCCCCGAGTACCCAGCACCCCCTCCGGCGGGAGCACCCCCTTCCAGGGGGAGCATCCCCTCCAGCGGGAGCACCCCCTCTTGCAGGAGCACCCCCTATTGCAGGAGCACCCCTCGGGCTGGAGCACCCACTACAGAGGGAGCACCCCTCCGGGGGAGCACCCCTCCGGGGGGAGCACCCCCTCTTGCAGGAGCACCCCTCCGGGGGGAGCACCCCCTCTTGCAGGAGCACCCCTCCGGGGGGAGCACCCCCTACAGAGGGAGCACCCCTCCGGGGGGAGCACCCCCTCTGGCAGGAGCACCCCTCCGGGGGGAGCACCCCCTACAGAGGGAGCACCCCTCCGGGGGGAGCACCCCCTCTGGCAGGAGCACCCCTCCGGGGGGAGCACCCCCTCTGGCAGGAGCACCCCTCCGGCGGAGCTCACCCTGCAAACCTCTGAGCATCGCCGCGGAGCAGCGGGGGCCGGCAGGGCGGTCCTCTCCGGACCCTGGGGCTGATGGGGACCCGGGTCTGCGGGTTCGGTTCAGGGAGGCCCCGACCCGGGCTGGGTTCCGCGCAGGCGCACTGCGTCCGCTGGCCCTCACCTGGGACCAGGTCTTTTTTTTTCTTTCTTTTTTTCCTTCTACCTGGGGGCGCCTGGCTCCAGACTTCTCCTTTTTAAAATATTTTATTGATTTTTTACAGAGAGGAAGGGAGAGGGAGAGAGAGTTAGAAACACCCATCAGCTGCCTCCTGCACACCCCCCACTGGGATGTGCCCCCAACCAAGATCCATGCCCTCGATGGGAATCGAACCCGGGACCCTTCAGTCCGCAGGCCGACGCTCCATCCACTGTGCCACTCCGGTCAGGGCAGGCCACATTTCTTTGCCTCCAGTTCTTATGTGTCCAAAGACAGAGGAACCGCAGACACGCCTTGGTAGGAGGGTTTTGTTGATTTTTTTAAAAATTGATTTCAGAGAGGAAGAGATAGAAACATCCGGATGAGAGAGAATCATGGACCGGCTGCCTCCTGCACAGGCCCCACGGAGGATGCAGCCCCCAACCCGGGCCTGTGCCTTTGGCCGGGAATCGAACCCGCAACCCTTCAGTCTGCAGGCAGTCAGTCACTCCATTCCCAGGGTGGGACCAGGTCTCCCTGCAACTCCGAGCTGGGAACCAGCCCCGCCTCCCCCCTCCCCCCTCCCCCTTCCCTTCGCCCCCCTCCCCCCAGCCGGGCTCGGAGGACCCAGGGAATGAAGGGCCGCCCCCTCCCCCGCCATGTTGCAGGAGGATACAGGGGCCGGGGTGGGGGTGTAGGTGCGGGTGGGGGTCCGGGTGGGGGTCCTGGATCCCTTCTCTCACCGACTGAGGGAGAAATAGAGCAGGACTCAGGGCGGCCTGCGGAAGGGGGGATCCTGGTGACATCTGGGACCCCATCTCAGTTCCTCAAAACTCCCCCCCACCCCGGGGTCCTTGATAAAGCCAGAGCTGCGTTTATTTACACTTTTTTCTTTCTTTAACTTTTATTTATTTATTTGTTTGTTTGTTTATTGCTTTCAGAGAGGAAGGGAGAGGGAGAGAGAGATAGAAACATCCATGATGAGCCCTAACCGGTTTGGCTCAATGGGAAGAGCGTCGGCCTGCGGACTGAAAGGTCCCAGGTTCGATTCCGGTCAAGGGCATGTGCCTTGGTTGCGGGCACATCCCCAGTGGGGGGCGTGCAGGAGGGAGCTGATTGATGTTTCTCTCTCATCGATGTTTCTAACTCTCTCTCCCTCTCCCTTCCTCTTTGTAAAAACCAATAAAATACCTTTTTTTAAAAAGGAAAAATTTTGCCTGGCCAGTGTGGCTCAGTGGTTAAGCCTTGACTCCGGAACCAAGAAGTTACTGGTTTGCTTCCTAGTCAAGGGCACATGCCCCACGCCCGGCTCCATCCCCAGTGGGGGGCGTGCTGGAGGCAGCCCATCCACGGTTCTCTCGCATCATGGACGTTTCCCTCTTCCTTCCTCTGTCTCTGATTTCAGTAACAACATGGATGTTTGTTTTTTTAATATATGTTTCATTGATTTTCACAGAGAGGAATGGAGAGAGAAAGTCAGAAACATCGCTCAGCTGCCTCCTGCACACCCCCTCCTGGGGATGTGCCCGCAGCCAAGGTACATGCCCCCGACCGGAATTGAACCTGGCGGACGCTCTGTCTACTGGGCCACGCAGGTTTCGGCACAACTCAGATGTTTTGAAACGGAAATTTTGTGGTGAGGAAGAAGAAACACCCTTTTGCTGTGACTGTGACCACGCCCCCTCCCCCATCTTTTCCCAAATAAAGGAGATGCTGTTTCCTGGTTCCTTTTACTCAGGCCCTGGGGACAGAGGTCAAGGCCAGAGGGAGGGGCAGGCGGACTGGGAGGCCCCGGAGCTCCCAGGAGCAGGCAGGGAGGGCTGAGGGGCCTGGAACCCGGAACCGGAACCCAGGAAAGTGCTCGGAACCCGGCGGTGCCTCTGGAATCCTGCACCGGTTCCCACAGGCGGATGGACGAGGCCTGTAGACGGGAGCCCGGGAGCCTGGCTCGGCCCCCAAGGGTGGCTCCCGGGAAGGCCCGGGGCCCTGCAGCAGGGGAGAGGGCGGACGCCGGCCCATCGCGATGGGCCCCTGGTCAGTGGGTCTTGAGCTTGGGGCTCTGGAAGGCGGACAGGGCGATGAGCAGCTGGGCGGCGTAGTAGGTGGCCATGACCAGCAGGCGGCCGTGGGCCAGCGGCCGGACGAAGGTGTGCCAGGACAGCAGGCAGTCGGAGGCGGCGAAGAGCAGGGCGCCCCAGCGGGCGCTGCCGCCCCGGGCCAGGCCGCGCCAGAGCATGGCGGACAGGGCCAGGGCGTAGGCCGCCAGGGGCAGCACCAGGGCGGGCGGGAGGTGCTGCAGCAGGAGGCCGGAGAACGGGAGCGAGGCCAGGGCGATGGGCACCAGGAGGCCGGGCCGCAGGGGGCTGAAGCCGAAGGTGCCGGTGTACAGCAGCTGGGCCGCGCCGAAGGCCATGGCGCCTGGGGGCAGAGGGTGGGCACCGGTGAGACCCACTGCCCTGCGTCGCCCGTGCCAGCTCCCCCCGTCCCCTGGCGGTCCCGCTTCCGCTGCCCTTGCTGTCCAGGGTCTGTCTTTCCTCTGCTCAGAGCTGTCCCTGGATCCCCATCTTCTCCGCCCCCCCATGGGCCTCAGTACCAGGTCTGTCTGGACCCTGGGCACACCCACCCCAGGACCTTTGCACCTGCTGGTCCCTCTGCCTAGAGCTGTGGTCGGCAAACTCATTAGTCAAATATCAGCAGCACAAGGACTGAAATTTCTTTTGTCCTAACGGGTGTGGCTCAGTGGATACAGTATTGGCCTGCAGACTGAAGGGTCCCAGGTTCGATTCCGGTCAAGGGCATGCACCTTGGTTGCGGGCACATCCCCAGTAGGGGGCGTGCAGGAGGCAGCTAATCAATGTTTCTTTCTCATTGATGTTTCTGGCTCTCTATCCCTCTCCCTTCCTCTCTGTAAAAAAATCAATAAAATATATATTTTTAAAAAGAAATTTCTTTTGAGAGCCTAATTTTTTAAACTTAAACTTCTAACGCCACTTCTTCAAAATAGACTTTCCCAGATCTTGGTGTGTGTGTGTGTGTGTGTGTGTGTGTGTATATATATATATTTTATTGATTTTTTACAGAGAGGAAGAGAGAGTTAGAAACATTGATAAGAGAGAAATATCGATCAGCTGTCTCCAGCACACCTCCTACTGGGGATGTGCCCACAACCAAGGTACATGCCCTTGACCGGAATCGAACCTGGGACTTTTCAGTCTGCAGGCCGACGCTCTATCCACTGAGCCAAACCGGTTAGGGCATTAATGTATTTTTATTGATTTCAGAGAGGAAGGAAGAGGGAGAGAGAGAGAGAGAGATAGAAACATCCATGATGAAAGAGAATCATTGAACGGCTGCCTCCTGCAAGCCCCCCACTGGGGATGGAGCCCACAACCTGGACATGTGCCCTTGACTGGAATCGAACCCATGACCCTTGAGTCTGCAGGTCGATGAGCTATCCCACGCCCACCACTCACCCCTGCTCAGGCCAGGCTGAGCGCCCTGAGGCGGGGGGTGCTGGTCACCGCGGGGCCCCAGGCCCGGGCTCGCCCCGGCTCCCGGCAGCGGCCACCGGGGGGCCGGAGAGGGGCAGGGCGGCCGCTCCCCTGCTCACCGTGGAGGAAGAGGTCGGGCCAGATGAGGAAGGCGTCCCCGAGGGCCGAGAAGAGCAGGGCCGCCTGCAGGCGAAGGCTGTAGCTCCCGCCGGGGCCCGGGTGTGCCCGCAGGAGCCCCACCAGGCTCAGCACGGGCAGGCACTTGACCAGGGCGCCCAGCCAGGACGGCGGGTCCTCGGGGATCCAGAGGAGGAAGTAGGCGGTGCAGGTGAGGAGGAAGGGGCTCAGGCTGGCCAGGTGCGGCTGCGTCCGGACAAGGCACAGCTCAGCCCCAGCCCTGGGGTCTCGGGGCTCCCACCCCCACTCGGGTCCCCCAGGACAGGCCCCACCTGGCCGGGTCCCGGGGTTCCCACCCCACCCCACCCCCACTCAGGGCCCCCTGGACATCCAGCCCCCTGGGACCCAGCCTCCGGGGCGGCCATACCCCCCATTCCTCCAGCCTACGGGGGTCCCCGGGGCTCCAGGCCCGGCCCAGCCCCCCTCCCGCACTCGGGGGCTCTCACGTGTGGGGAGGAGTGGGGGCCGCGGGGCCGCCCCGCTTTCCGGACGTCCATGCCGGCCTGAGACCCCCCGACAGAGCGGCCGGAGCCGGGGCGGCGGTGGCCTTGGGGGTGGAGGGCGGGCGCGCGGTTACACGTTAACCCGGGGAGCGTCCTGTGGACTCTGGGGCTGATAACAGCGCGGGGATGGCTCGGACTGGCACCCGCAGATAAGGCGCCCATCCCGAAGCGGGGGTCCCCCCTCCCCGAAGGCCCCTGCCCGGGACCCCGGGGGCCAGGTCTGCCCTCCATCGCTGTGGGCCGAGGGGGCCAATTCCCCTCGCAGCCCCGGGCCCAGCCAGGCCCCACCCGCCTTCCCCAGGGGACGGGCCACCATCACCCTGCGGCCGGGAGGAACCCCTTCTCCCTGCCCCTGCCCCCCGGGCCCCCTGCACTGGCCCCCCTCCTGTGGGGCCTGCACCTGCCCCCCCCCCAACACTTCCTGATCTAACAAATGCCCATGAGGCGGCCTCCGAGGTCACCAGCAGCCTGGGGCCGCAGCCTGGGCAGCCCGGGGGGCCCAGGACCAAGGCTTTCGGGCCTGGGGGAGGGCTCTTGGTCCCCCCTGGAAGGCACACCAGAGCCCGGCCGCCCTGGCCCCTCCCAGCACCCACCGTGCCACCGCGGGGACAGGGGCAGGGGCAGGGGCGGGGGCGGGGGCGGGGGCGGGGGCAGGGGCAGGGGCAGGGCCGGGGGCGGGAGCAGGGGCAGGGGCAGGGGCAGGGGCGGGGGCGGGAGCAGGGGCAGGGGCAGGGGCAGGGGCAGAGGCAGGGGCAGGGGCAGGGCCGGGGCGGGGGCAGGGGCAGGGGCAGGGGCAGGGCCCGGGGCAGGGGCAGGGGCGGGGGCGGGGGCGGGGGCAGGGGCAGCCCTGGCTGCGCAGGGTCCCTCTATGCCGGGCGGAGGGCTGAGCAGCGGACACACGCGTGATGCTGGGTGACTAAGGGGACCCCGGGCAGGCACGCCTGCTCATTCCACCTCATTAAGGTGGGAAAGCCCTCCCAGGGCAGAGCTGTTCCCTCCGGAAAGCTCCGGGGCAGGACGCTGGGCCAACCCGGATGAAGAGGGAAAAAAGGCAATGTCCCGCAAGGAGCTGACACGCGGCCTGAGGAAGGCACCATCATCACCTATCATTTTTAAAAAATATATATTTTTATTTATTTCAGAGAGAGGAAGGCAGAGGGGGAGAGAGACAGAGAGAGAAACATCAATGACAAGAGAGATTCAGGGATCGGCTGCCTCCTGCACACCCTCCTTTGGGGATCGAGCCAACAGCCTGGACATGTGACCTTGGCCGGAATCGAACCCGGGACCCTTCAGTCTGGAGGCTGATACCCTATCCACTGAGCCACACTGGCCAGTGTTACGGAAACGGGGGGGGAGGGAGGCCAGTGGGACCATCGGCCGCCTTTTGGGGACCCCAGCCTGAGCGCTGAGGCCTGAGAGCACAGTCCGGGGGAGGAAGGTGCTGGCTGCAGACACACCTGCATCAGCCGCACCCGAAGGAGCCCCTTGAGCTACAGCCACAAAGAGCCGGGCCCGGCTCCTGCTGGAGCTCAGAGCCGGGCTCCCAGCCCTCAGGGCCCAGAGGCCCCACAAACACACGCCCCGTTCCCACAGGTTTCTCCCCCAAGCCGACGGGAACTGCCCCCGCGGGCCCCGCAGCCCCCGCGATGCCACCAGGCCCAGAGCAGGAGGCGGGCGGACTCACCGCACACCTGGGGGCGGGCCCAGGCGGGCCCCCCTGGCCAGCGGGCTGCCCTGCCAGGCGCCGTCCTCCCCGTCGGACTCCCCAGAGCCCTGGCCCTCCTCCTCCTCCTCCTCTTCCTCGTCATCAAACTGCTGGATGCGGTCCTTGTAGCAGATCTCCAGCAGGTTGGTGTTGGGCTGCGGGGGCGGGGGCAGGGGGCAGGTGGGTGGGCGGCACTGCCCACAGCCCCACCCCCAGAGCACGGGGGCCACTCACGTTCTCGTCGGCGTCAGCTTGGAGGGAGAAGGTGATGTTGGCGGTCTTGTCGAAAGGCGCGCTGGGGAGAAGCGGGGGGTGAGGAGGCTGCGAGGCTGAGGCGGGACAGGCTGCTCCTGCCGCTCCTCCCTGCCCGCACATGGCCTCGCTATCTGCTCTTCCGGTCAGCTCAGCGGGCACCTCCCTCAGGGCCCCGCAGCCCCAGGTGCCCTGGACACCAGGCCATGAGTGGCCTGCCCGGCTGGGGGCTGAGTGGCAGGACCAGCCTCAGCAAGGGGGCTGCACACCTGGCCGGTGTAGCTCAGTGGATAGAGTATCGGCCTTCGGACTGAAGGGTTCTAGGTTCGATGCCAGTCAGGGCACAGGCCTGGGTTGTGGGCTTGACCCCCAGTAGGGGACGTGCAGGAGGCAGCCGATCCAGGATTCTCTCCCATCGTTGATGTTTCTCTCTCCCCCTCTCTTAATAAAAAATATATATTTTCAAAGAGGAGGAAATACAGTCGCAATTACCCCCCAAAAAAGAAATACCCTTTGACAGAAACTGGTTTGGCTCAGTAGACAGAGCGTCGGCCTGCAGACTGAAGGGTCCAGGGTTCGATTCCAGTCAAGGGCATGTATATTGGCTGTGGGCACATCCCTGGTGGGGGGGTGCAGGAAGCAGCTGGTCGATGTTTCTCCCATCGATGTTTCTAGCTTTCTAACCCTCTCCCTTCCTCTCTTTAAAAAGTCACAACCCTTTGCTGTTGTGATGCCTCCCCCCACCCCTCCCCAAATAAAGGAGGTGCTGTTTCCTGGTCCCCTTTGTTCAGGCCACAGGGAAAGAGGTCAAGGTCAGCGGGAGGGGCCGTGGACGCGGGCGGGGCTGACCATCCGCCTGGCGAGGATGAATGACCTCGGACACGTTTGCTGAGAAAGAGAGACTGAGGGGCGGCCGGGCTGGAGGGACCAGACAGCCTCCTCAGGTTTTATTGCAGCAGCAGCAGGAGATAGCTGACCTTCGGACACAATCAGACGGGAAGGAACCTTGGGGGCAGGTGTGTCTGCAGTGCCCTCTCAGCAAGGACACCCGGAGGCCGGCGTTAGGGTTCCAGTGAACACCTGGGGGGCCGCAGGTGCACAGACTGTTTGTTGGAAAGGTCCCGGAACAACCCCGGCCAGCGCCTTTGGCCAAACTCCCCTCAGCGGGAATTTCGTCCTCACAGACTGTCGAGTCTCCCTGCTTCCCACAGACTCGGGGGGCCCGGAGCTCACAGAACGGGCAGGGCTGGGGAGGCCCCGCCCGGGCCCGGCTCAGGGGCCTGGAACCCGCAACCAGAACCCAGGAAAGTGCTCGGAACCGGGCGGTGCCTCCGGAATCCTGCACCGGTTCCCACAGGCGGATGGACGGAGGCCTGCAGACGGGAGCCTGGCTCGGCCCCCAAGGGCGGCTCCCGGGAAGGCCCGGGGCCCTGCAGGAGGGGAGAGGGCGGACGCCGGCCCGTCAGGGCCCCTGGTCAGTCTGTCTTGAGCTTGGGGTTCTGGAAGGCGGGCAGGGCGATGAGCAGCTGGGCGGCGTAGTAGGTGGCCATGATCAGCAGGCGGCCGTGGGCCAGCGGCCGGACGAAGGTGTGCCAGGACAGCAGGCAGTCGGAGGCGGCGAAGAGCAGGGCGCCCCAGCGGGCGCTGCCGCCCCGGGCCAGGCCGCGCCAGAGCATGGCGGCCAGGGCCAGGGCGTAGGCCGACAGGGGCAGGACCAGGTCGGGCGGGAGGTGCTGCAGCAGGAGGAAGGAGAACGGGAGCGAGCCCAGGAAGACGGGCAGCAGGAGGCCGGGGCACAGGCCGCGCCACAGCATGGTGGACAGGGCCAGGGCGTAGGCCGCCAGGGGCAGGACCAGGCTGGAGGAGAGGTGCAGCAGCAGGAGGCCGGAGAACGGGAGCGAGGCCAGGACCACGGGCAGCAGGAGGCTGGGCCGCAGGGGGCTGAGCCCGAAGGCCCAGATGTAGAACAGGTGGGCCGTGGCACAGGCGAGGACACCTGGAGGGCAGGGAGTGGGGCACCCGTGAGACCCGCTTCCGTGCGTCGCCCCTGCCAGCTCCCACGGTCCCTGGTCCGTCCGTCCTCTGCTCCCCACTGGGCTTCAGCGTGGTCTGTCTGGACCCGCACCCCGGGCACACCCACCCGGGGCCTTCGCACCTGCCGGTCCCTCTGCCTAGACCCGTGGTCAGCAAACTGCAGCTCAAGAGCCACATGCGGCTCTTTGGCCCCTTGAGTTTTTAGCAAAGGCCAGCTGAGGAGTCCCCTCATTAAGTTAATAACAATGTACCTGCCTATATAGTTAAAGTTTTAAAAATGTGGCTCCCTCACCAGGACCGGTTTGGCTCAGTGGAGAGAGCATTGGCCTGAGGACCAAAAGGTCCCGGGTTCGATTCCGGTCAAGTGCATGTACCTTGGTTGTGGGCACATCCCCAGTGGGGGGTGTGCAGGAGGCAGCTGGTCGGTGTTTCTCTCTCATCGACGTTTCTAACTCTCTGTCCCTCTTAATTCCTCTCTGTGTAAAATCAATAAAACATATATATTTTTAAATGTGGCTCTCCAAAGAAATTTCCATCGTTGTACTGTTGATATGTGGCTCTGTTGACTAATGAGTTTGCCAGCCAGGGGCCTAGACCACCCCCGTTCCGGCACCCCCTTCTCTATGAGGCTGTCCTTAAACCTGTGACATGGGAACCCCACCCCTCCCCACGCCCCCACTCACCCCTGCTCAGGCCAGGCTGAGCGCCCTGAGGCGGGGGGTGCTGGCTCGCCCCGGCTCCCAGCAGCGGCCACCAGGGAGCCGGCCCTGCACCCGGGGCCCTGGGGGGTCGGAGAGGGGCAGGGCGGCCGCTCCCCTGCTCACCGTGGAGGAAGAGGTCGGGCCAGATGAGGAAGGCGTCCCCGAGGGCCGAGAAGAGCAGGGCCGCCTGCAGGCGAAGGCTGTAGCTCCCGCTGGGGCCCGGGTGTGCCCGCAGGAGCCCCGCCAGGCTCAGCACCGGCAGGCACTTGACCAGGGCGCCCAGCCAGGACGGCGGGTCCTCAGGGATCCAGAGGAGGAAGTAGGTGGTGCAGGTGAGGAGGAAGGGGCTCAGGCTGGCCGGGTGCGGCTGCGTCCGGACAAGGCGCGGCTCAGCCGGGGAGGCGGCTCCGGCCACCCCCAGCCCTGGCCAGGACTGGGGTCTCGGGGCTCCCACCCAACCCCCACTGGGGTCCCCCAGGACAGGCCCCATCTGGCCGGGTCTCGGGGTTCCCACCCAACCCCACCCCCACTTAAGGCCCACTGGACATCCAGCCCCCTGGAACCCAGCCTCTGGGGAGGCCATGACCCTCAATTCCTTAGTCTACTGAGGTCTCCGGGAGGCCAGCCCAGCCCCTCCCACACTCAGGGCCTCTCCCTAGGGCTGAGGATAGGGGACAGCACCTCGTTCCGGATGCCCATGTTCGCCTGGGACACCCGCCCGCAGAGTGGCCAGTACACGGCACCAATGGCTTTGGGGGTGGAGCAACGGCAAGCGGTTACTCGTTAACCAGTTAACCGGGCAGCCCGGCGGCCAGCGTCCGTCCTGTGGGTGGACTCCGGGCCTGACTCAGCGCTGGGCAATGTTGCCCGCCCAGGGGCGGCTCTGCCTGGCAGGGGCCCCTCCTCACCCTCAGCCTGGACTGCTGCCAGGCCCCGCCCTCCTTCACCTGGGGATGGGGCGCCTTCACCTAGTGGCCGATGGAGGACCCACTTCTCCCTCCCCCAGCGCCCCCACACCAACACTTGATGACCTAACAAATGCCAAGGACAACCAGACCTGCCCTGGAGCTCACCCCCAGCCCGGGGCCGCGGCCCTGGGGGGCCCAGAAGCACAGCTCCCATGTGTCTCTCTCCCAGCTTCGATGTTCCTCTCAGTCTCCCCCTCCCACTCTCTCTAAAAATCAATGGGAAAATGTCCTCGGGTGAGGATTAACAAAAAAATGAATGGTTGATTTCTTTTAAGAACTTTATTGGTTTTAGAAAGAGAGAGAGGGAGAGAGAGGAGAATACCCTGACAGGCTGCCTCCTGTTGCCCACCCCATTGCGGTAGGAATGACACTCCTAGGGAGCCACACCCCAGGGCTGAAATGGCTGTTTTTTTTCTTAACCCACTGATTTTAGGGACAGTGGGGGAGAGAGGGAGAGACAGAGAGAAGCATCCATGTGAGAAAAACTCATCCATCAATTGCCTCTTGCAGGAGCCCAGACCAGGCCTGGACCAGGGAGGAGCTTGCAACCGAGGTCCGTGCCCTTGACGGGAATCGAACCCGGTCCTTCCACCCGCAGGCAGAGGCTCTGTCGAATAAGCCAAACCGAACCGGCCCGGCCTGGCCTGTTCTTGCACTGACCTCCCCCGTCTCCCTCCCCCGCAGGCACCACCGAGAGGCTAGCCGCGTTTCCTGGGTCACCTCCTGCCCCCACCTCCCACCCGAGGCTGGACAGAGGGCGCTCACCAGTGGACACGTGAGGCTGGGTGACTGAGGGGGCCCGGCCACGGCTCTGGAGACCAGGCCGGGCGAGTCCGGGGGATGCTCAGGGCGCTCCCCTCCCGCCCCCCCAGAACTCCAGGTCTGAGCAGCAGCGTCTTAAACTGTCTCCTTTATTCATTCATTTATAGTTGAGTATGAAACAGCTGGGCACCCACACATACTCACGCGGCCTGAGAGGGCGCTGGGTCAAGGGCACTTGGCAACTGGGCTGGAACCCAGACCCTCAGGCACTGGAGGGGGACCCCAGCTGGACACCCCCCAAAGCCCCGCCCAGGGTCTGTGGGAGGCGCAGGGGTCTCGTGTGTCAGGGCCTCGTGGGAATGTCACCGGAGAGACGGGCTCCGGCCCGCCCGGGGAAGTGCAGGGCCTGGGGCGTGGGGCGGGGCGAAGGCACGGCCCCCTCGGCCCCCAGGTGGACCTGAGCTGGCGGCCGAGTGTGGGTGTGGGCATGGGAACCACAGGGGTGGGGGGCGGGCGGTGCCTCAGGGACCCCAACGCAGCCCCGCTGGGAAGGGGTGGTCCCCCACCTGCCCCGGCCTGGCTCCATCTGGCTCTCCGCCCTCTCCTCCCGGACGTACATGTAAAATAGAATATAGGCCTCTCTCTCTCTCTAGCTCTTTCCTCCTTGCTTTCTACTCGACTCTATATCTTTATTCAAGGAGATAAAACTCCATCTTTTTTTTCTCAGTGCAAATGGGGGTGGGTGGGGCCTGTCTCCCTGGCGCCAGCTCCTGGGAGTCCAGAGGAGAGAGCGGGGTGGGGGTGAGACGGGATGGGCTGATGGGGCAACAGGCCTTCACGGGACCCGCCCTGACCCCGCCAGGGCAGGACCCGCGCAGTGGACGAGGGTTTGGCCGCCATCACCGGAACCAGGCAGCTACCTGGGAACCAAGAGGGAGAGGGGTGAGGAGCCGCGGGCCACTGCACCCCCCCCCGCAGCCCTGGCCTGCGACTCACTGGGCGCCTGGGGCCGCCGGGCCGCCCTGGGCGGAGCCGTTGGGCACCGGGGGCAGCTGGAGGGCCTGGGCACTGTGGGGAGAGGGCACACAGGAGGTCAGAGCCTCCCCCCAGGCCCCCCCGCCCCCGCCATGGCCACCCCACACTCACCCCATGGGCTCTGGGCTCTTCTCCTTCTCCATGGTCTGGGGGAGCTGGGGGGCCCCAAGGGCTGGGACAGAGGTAGCAGGGTCTCTGGTTGCGCTGTGGGGAGGCGGGGTCAGGCACTCACGCCCAGCCGTAGGCCCTCGCCCGCAGCCCTGACCCCGCCCGCAGACCTGGGCCGCTGGGCAGGAAGTCCTCATCGGACACCGTCTGCGTGCCCCTTCCCCTCGGCCCCTCCCGCCCACGGGGCTCCCGAGAGCCGGAGGGCAGCGTGGGCAGAGGCCCTGGGCAGCACGGTCCTGTCCTGTGGACCCGGCACAGGGCCCTGGAGCCGCTCCGGAGCAGCAGCCACCCCGAAGCCGGGCTTCATTCACCCCCACACGCTCCCCAGAAACTGCCCGCAGGTCACCTGTCCAAGGAGCTGGGGGTGGAGCTTGTCCTTCGGATGGTGGCCTGGAGGTCCTTGACGCTGACCAAGGCCTGGCAGGGGGCTGGGGAAGACAGAGGGACAGCCTGAGCAGCGGGTGCAGGCCGGGGGCAGCGTGGGGAGGCGGGGGCAGGGGGCGGGGGACAGGCTGACCTGAGGGCTCCGCTACTCGGCCGCCGCCATCGCCATCGGAGGCTTCCTGAGGTGCTGAGGGGGGGGCGGGGTCTTGGGACCTGGAGGGGGAAGCAGCCAAGGGGCGGCGGTTGGCTGGAGCCTGCGAACCAGACGGAGCCGCCCCCAGCCCGGCCCTCGGCCTCACCTGAGCTGCAGAGTGCCTGGGGCCTCGGGGTCGGCTGGGCTTGGGGCGGGGAGGTCCTGGGGCACAGCGACCGGCCCCAGAGGGGCAGGGGCCCCAGGGCGCGGCTCCTTCTCCCCAGAGTCTGGGGGTGCGGCCGGGGTGTCTGGAGGCACTGGGTCAGGGGCGGCTGCCCGGCTGGTGCCTGGGAGAGAGCAGGCGGCAGTGAGCAGGGCAGGCAGACGCTGTGTCCACCGGACCCCACCGCGTGGTCACTCACCAGGAGGCTGGGGGCCAGGGTGGGGGTCAGAGGGGGGCCCGGCCCTATCGTGGGCCCCCTGGCCGTCCTCCTCGCCGTCCTCCTCCTCCTCTTCCTCCTCCTCGTCCTCGCTATCTGTGCTGCCTCCGCTCCTGCCCCAGAAACCAGATGAGCTGTTGGTGCAGGGAGGACAACGGGAAGCGTGCCCATCCCCACTCCCAACCCCCTCACCCCCCACCCCCCACCCTCAAGGCTGCCCCCCCACATTGAAGGGTAACACAAGGATGGGGGAAGTTCCTGCTGATCAAGGGCTGGCAGGCCCCAGCCTCCCTCACAGACCCTCCCAGCACAGGGCATCTCACTCGGGGGCTCCTGGTTGTTGTTAATCCTCACCCGAGGATGTCTGCCCATTGACATGGAGAGAGCAGAAGTGTGGGGGGACACAGTGCAAGAGAGACACATCAACTGGTTGCCTCCCGCACACCCCGGACTGGACCAGGGCCTGAGCCTGTAACGGAGGTGTGTGCCCTGGACTGGAATCAAAACCAGGACCCTTCAGCCCAGGGGCCAAACCGGCCAGGGGCGGGGAGGGACTCTTGTCACCGCTGAGCACGCGTGAGCACGTGCAGCTGCTCCTAGAACACTGCTGGGTGACGGACGCAGACCAAGGCCCCGGCCACCCCGCCCACGGACGGGGCGGTGGAGCAGATGCCGAGCACCGCGGAAGGAGGGCGCTGCTCTCCTTGAAATCAGACTCCAGGCCCGGCCAACGGGGACAGGAGGGCTTCTCCAACCGGGGGAGCTCCACCCGTCCCCCAACATCAGGAACCAGACGCCCCACACCTGCTCCGCCGTCCGGGCCGGAAGGAAGGAGTAACCCGACGGCAGGGGGCGCCTGTACTCCAGGCAGGAAGTGCTGCGGGGTGGGCGTTCCCAGAGGGCGCGCGAGGCGGGCCGATGCCCACAGCCACCGCCTATCTATCCCCTTGTTACCCCTCAGCGACTAGCGACAATCCCACTCACCGGGGCGTTGAGGAGATTGTAACACTTAGGAATCAATTCAACAAAAGAAATAAAAACAGACGCTCTGAAAACTTCAAAACGCTGCTGGAAGCTAAAAATACCCAAACTCAGGGAGACACACCGCACCCGCAGGGGCCAGGAGAGACAGACAACGCCCCAGGCCCTTGCTGAAACTGACAAGCAGATCCCCAAATTCCCAGGAATCCCAAGGGGTCCCGTACCATCAACACAACCTGAGCGAGACGGCAGCGCACACCTGCCTCACACCCACCGCACACCACAGGGACCCGGACGGCCGTCGGCGGGCCAGGACGGGGCAGGCACACCCTCACGCAGTCCATGGCCCCGTCCTGGGGAAGGGACAGGCCCCTCAGCAGGCTGCTGGCCCGGGGCTGCCCACCAGCCAGGAATGAGGTGGACCTGCCCGTCGCTCAGAAGAGACCAAACCCGAACGTGAGGCTAAGGCTGGCACCTCTTAGGAAGCCATGGTGACCACGACCTGGGCCTTGGCTGCTCACCCAGCGGCACCCCTGGGCGGGCCAGGGGGCACCCCACGGCAATGGCCCCGGCACAGAACGCCACACCCGCCTTCCCAGCAGGGGTCTGGGCAGCGTCCCCCCTGGGAGGGCAG